CCCCAAAACCCCAAAACCCCAAAACCCCAAAACCCCAAGAAAATAGTAATCTTGAACAATAATTTAAATTGTATAATATTTCAAAATGAAAGATGATGATCAACATAATAAGTCAGACCTCAGCAAAGAGGAGATAGACCCCGAAGAATCTGATAAGTCTGTTAATAAACCAGAAAGTGGTCATGAAAAGAAATAAAGTGAAAATAGGCCAATACATCCTTGGTCGGTCCATCGGTGAAGGGACCTTCGGTAAAGTCAAACAAGGAATGCACATCCTCACCGGTGAGAAAGTTGCTGTCAAAATACTCGAAAAAGACAAAATCCAGGATGTGGCCGATGTTGAAAGAGTCGCCAGGGAAATCCACATTCTCAAGATCGTGCGGCACCCTAACGTAGTCCAGCTGTACGAGATCATCGAGACTCAGAAGCAGTTGTACCTGATCATGGAGTTCGCAAACGGAGGAGAACTCTTCGATTTTATTGTTGAGCAACAACGGGTCAACGAGAAGGAAGCTTGAATGTACTTCCAGCAAATCATCGCCGGAGTTGAGTATATTTCGAAACTTGGGATAGTGCATAGAGATTTAAAGCCTGAGAACTTACTTCTTGATCACAACAAATCGATCAAACTCGTGGACTTTGGGCTCTCAAACACTTACAAGAAAGGCGAAACATTAAAAACAGCTTGTGGAAGTCCATGATATGCAGCCCCAGAAATGATAGCAGGCAACAGGTATGTAGGAACAAACGTCGATATTTGGAGTTGAGGAGTCATACTATTTGCAATGATTTGTGGATTTTTACCATTTGAAGATCCAAACACTAGTCAACTGTATAAATAAAATTCTCAATGCTGAATACAAAATCCCTAGCTTCATATCTAAAGATGGAGCTGATATAATAAAAGGAATCCTTGAGACTGATTCTAAAAAGCGTTTAACCATAGATCAAATTAGGGACCATCCATGGTATAAACAACATACTGAAGTAAGACATAATGGTATTATTGTTGGTACCGATCAAATCCCTGTCAATGAAAATATATTAGAAGAGTTATCTAAATACGACTACGATTTGGACTATTCAGGTAAATGAATAGAAGCGAATAAGCATAATCATGTAACAGCCTCTTATTATCTTCTTCTGAAAGCGAAGTTGAGAGATGGTAAAATTACAATACAGCAAGCATATGAGTGAAAGAATGACTTGGTCAGTTTAATGAAGAGGCACCCTAGATTTCAAAATTTAAATAAAAATATGCCAGACCATTTAAAAATTAATAACAAACCTGAAAAGCCAAGTAGTATGCCTCCAAAAATGAGGATAAGTGAAGAAGATGAGGATAGTCCAGGCAGATTAAATCAAACAGTAAACTATGATAAGCTAGCTCCAAAGCCCCTAAAAATTGACAACGAAATAGAGAAAGAAATTAAAGCAAAACAAAGGACTGGCTCAACTGGCGGCTCTTCTATGAAAGATGCAGAAATTTTGAGAGTTCAAAATAAGAAAACTTCAGGATCTCCTTCCCCATCTCCTATCGGTCATCCTAAATTTCCAATGATAAAAGCTCCCATCCTCAAGCATGTTCTCGCAGCAGGGAAGCCAGCTCAGACGATATCTAATTCAAGTTCTAGAAAAACTCAAAGAGCGCTAAACCAAGAAAGGTCAAACATTAATAAGAGAATAACCAAATTATCTAAGGGAGCAGTAGATTTTACAAATCTGTTTAAAAACATGCACAAAAATAAGAAGAATAAAAATAAAGGTATATCTCAATCTCAATTCTCATCTGGAACTCCAATAGGTATTGGCAACGTGGCCCCTCCATTCATTTCAAAAGCAGGCCCAAGTGGAAGAGGAAAGCACAAAAAGGCAGCCACAGCTTTCGCATATGAGAATTTAAACAATAGCTTCCAGATTGATAGATTTAGGCATTATACCATCACAACAACTCCTAGTCAGAAAAATAAGAGAAAAAGGAAAGGATCAAAGAAAGTAGGAGTGAATTTGAACCATTCTCTTGTTCTGAATCCCCGGAGTACAACACTATCAAAGAATAAAATGTCTCATCTGATGAATTCTACTCTGAATCCTCCTTATGCCTGAAATGCAAGACCAGTTTCTGTCCTCAACAAAACAGTCTATACAACAGGATTAAGAGAACAGATAGGAGGGTTCCCTAATCTAATGCTTACAAAGAAAAAGAAAAAGGGTAAATTCAGAGTAAGATCAAGAGGAAAATCTCCCAAAAATACCAACTCAATCAATAACAACCTCTACCAGGCCTATATGAGAGGGCATAAAGGAATATAGGAAGGTACTTTAGTCTGAATATTACTAATTCGGTCAATCAATATTTTAACAAAGAAAGGGGTTTTGGGGTTTTGGGGTTTTGGGGTTTTGGGG